CAGCTACACGCTTCCCGGCCGGTAATCGGCAGCAGTTGGCGCCAGGTACAGGGGGTGCTCGCCGCGAAGGGAGCTGCGTCCTTGAATTGTGAGCAACTCGAGGACACCAGTGTGTCTTGGTCGAAGACTTCTGAGACGAGCGAGCTTGTCTCGACGAAGCACGCCGGCGGTTGCGAGTCACCAGTCTATGACTGGAGGACAACAGGGCTCAGGCGAACGAAGACAGCGCAGGTCAGAGGGGGTTCGGCCACGATTGACAACGCACCGCGACTTCGACAGCGTCGATCCGCGGAGACGTGGCTAGCGACCCATCGGTTCTTTTCTTTTACAGCTGCGAAGTCGGTTACTGCTCCGAGAAATGCCTGCACACGATCGCGGCCAGACGCCTGGCGGGCCCTTCGTTCACCGCCATCCTTACAGAGGGGTACTTTTTCTAGGCCCCCTAGAGGGGCTGGTATCGTCTAACGATCGAGAAGAGGTTATAGCTCGACTCCTACCGAAAGCATAGGGGGATCTTAGACCCGCCCGGGAGAGGAACTCGCGTATCCGATTTACAGAATTCCTCTACCCGGAATTAGCGCGAGTATACACGATCGGTCTCTAGTTGTGTTAGGGCCACGGAAGCGCATGTCGCCCACCGGCCACACGCTTGGTAGGTGTCCGGTCTCTGTCGTCAGTACTTAATACCACGGGATAGTCGCACCGGGCTCGTTGGCAGACAAAAATTGGCGTCTCGTTTCAGTGTTATCCAGGCCTCATCACTTCGTACTCTCTGTGCCTGGCAATCGGGGCTTCATAAAGGTCCAACTCCGCGCCCGAATACGAACTGACACACTGACCGGGCCCGGAGAAGCCAGACTATCGAAGTGGGGGGGGGGGGGAGGGGGTGTAGATCGTCTACTTTCAATGAAACGCTGTTAAGTAGTTCTTCCACACATATCGTTTTCAGTTCCGGCGTCAGTTCACATATGACAGTGGGTCTCGTCTAAACACTTCGACATCTACTAGTGCAACCTCCCTCCCCACTACATCAATTTGGTTCAACGTCATACCACTTACTTTTATATTAAATTTTTACTATATAAAAGACCGTTCACTTTTAAGTCAGTGATTCAAGTAAAAAAAAGATCGTTCGATGTCTTTGAAAAAACAGAAGAGACACCTGAAGTTTAAACCAGGTGTCTATGACACCTATAAAAACTATGTTCAATTTTACACATACGTGTGTTCGCAGTCTAAAAAGATAGCACGTTCCAGTTATTTTCATGCGTTTTCTTTTTTTTTTTTTGTCTTTTCTCCCACCTTCCGCGTTTTTCGTACACAGTGTAGTCCAAAACCGTGCCGAGCAGCGTAAACGTCGTAAGATGGCCAGTATGGATTAACGATGTTGAATTTACCTACTTTTCCAAGTATAATGCGTGCTGTGTCTAGTAGACGCAGCAGCGCGTCCGCGTCGACGTGTCCGTATCTAACGTAATACTAAAGCGTAGAGCGAACCTCCGTCACCGCTCGTATAACAATAAGTTAATCT